TCACCATGACGCCAGTGCTGCAGGTCTCCAGCTTACCAGCAGATGGAAGCAGAGTCTGAGGAGAAATAACAGCATTAGTATTAGTTCAGTTCATCAAAATTAAAATCACACCCATAGTTTCCTGTAAAGATGGATTTTAATCAAAGACCAAATATTTAATAACATGATTATTTCAAGATCCATACACTGTTTAACCAATGATATTTTTTTTTTCCTTTGGTAGATTTCCATTTGTATGTCAGGTACAAATTTTTGAAAGAATTTATGCTTAACAGTGTACAACTGACTCTAATAACACTAAAGAGAAAGTACAATATGCTAGCCAGTAGCCAATGAAATATTTTAGAACAGAGCAAACCTAGAAACGAATATAAAAATAAATATGGGAAGACACACACACTCTCTCTCTCTCTCTCTCACACTAAAACATTTTAATGTTCTTCCAGGCCTTGAACACAAAAAAATAAAATAAAATAAATAAATAAATATATATATATATATATATATATCTTTTTTAGCCCATTCTCAGGAAATAAATCTCTTTTTATTTATACTTGGAACCTATGGAAAATTGATTACATAAAAAAAGCAGAAAAAAAATATTTTTTTATCTCACAATTCAGACTTTTTCTCCCCCCCTCACAATTCTGATTTTATATCTCACAATTCTCTTTTTTTTCTGGAAATTTTGAAAAAATTGTGAGCTATAAAATCTGAATAAACTCAGAATTGCAATTCTAAGAAGAATTATGAGAGAAAAAAAGTCCAATTACCTTTTTTATTTTTTATTCTGTGGTTGAAAAAAAGAATTAAGGTGTCAACACAGGATTCTGAGGGGAAAAAAGTCAACATTTCAAGATATAAACGGAATTAAGAGATGTAAACTCTAAATCGTGAAAGAAAGTCAGAACACGTTAGAAAACTTAGATTTCACCTTAGATATCATATCATGATATCGTAATACATAATATCATTCAATAAATCACTAAATTCAAAATGGTTACATTTGTAAACTCAACACTGACTATTAACCAAAAAACTATGAGCCCAAGAGTGAACGCTGTCAATGAACAAGGTTCCTTATGCAGTATTCTGCTCAGACATACTAGACATATTACGTTATGAAAAATACTGCCTTAAAAGAGTATGAGAAATTCAGCATGGACATGTTCTCGGGGTTCAGGGCACTCCACGAGCCCACGCCCCTATAAAACAATGGTGCCAAACTTTGAGTAAATTTCTAGGAGTCGCTCAGCTTGCGCTTCATGACATTTCTTCTAGGCACGAGCTCACCGCGATCCCACTGCTAATGAAAACCCCGCGGAAAGTAACGGAAATCCGTTGCTAGGATAAACACTCAGCAGCACCCCACGTTTAGCCTGACTAATGCGAGCGCAAAGGACTCTCGTTTGGTCGTTTATTGGCATCTCTATAATTACAAATGGAGAATTTGAACTTGGTAAACAAGCACACTGGGCATACCTCTATTTTGAGCTCACTATGCAGCAGTGTACGGCCGTAATAATTACTAATAGGTAGGTTCATCAAAACAGCGGTCGGCAGCCCCCTCTGTTTTGCCGAGACTTGCGTTGACACTTCACTTCCTGTACGGCTCCACCCAGCGCTTCTTAAAGGGGACGCACAATAGTAAATGGCTGTGTTTAGATTGGAGTATCAACTTACTACAGTACAACTACTAAGTACTGCACAGTATATACTACATTACAATTTTTTTAAAATAGCAAATGGCTGTTTAGAACTGATATCAGCTTACTAACTGCTCTATATACTCTAAATATATTCATCCATTCATTCATTAGCAAGAGGCTATGTATTACTGATCTATAATAGAGTCATTATATAGATCAGTGCCATGAATCCATTCTAAACAGATCCACTCGCAATTAAATAAATAAATAAATAGTATAGTGTGTGTATACAGCTTACATTTATTAAGGTGTTATTGGCATTGGCATAACTAGAAAAATGTATATTCATTATAATATATATATATATATGTATATATATATGTGTGTGTGTGTGTGTGTGTGTGTATATATATATATATATATATAGACATTTTAAGATTTTATTCATTTACATGACACTTCCAGGTCTAGAAATCACAGTGTTAAAATGATGCTTCCTTTTATATCCAGGTTTTTCCAAAAGAGTTGTTGAGGGGTACAATAAAAATTATCTTGATTTTTAGTTGTTCTGGCTTATTTTAATTCTTGTTTTGTCTTATTTTATTTATTTTAAGTCATCTTGAGGCCTTCTTGGAAGTTTGCTGAGGTCCCTTAGTGGGCCCCGACCCCGGTTGGGAACCACTGCTATATATGGTTATTTATTTACTTATTTATTTATTTGTTTGTTTGTGTGTTTGTAAATGGCCATGTTTAGAATGGACTGAATAACACAAGCTGTATACACTCTATGGTTGTTTATTTATTAAATAGTTAGAATAGAGGTAAAGACACCTTAGTAAGCTTTATGCACTCTCTACGCTTTATTTATTTATTAAATAGTGCGTGGTTATGTTTAGAATAGATGCAATGACACTTTAGTAAGCTATAAACGATTCAAACTCCGAATCATTCAGGAACGAAGCACCACTAAGCCTTTGCGGCTTCCTCCTAGTAGAGTAGACCTGAAGTGTGAATTTAAAGTCGTCAGGTGCTGCGGTTACTATGTCGACACTTAAGAGAGTTATATGGCCCCAAATCATTCTCTTCGGCGACTCAATAACACAGGTAACATTTTAACACAGTGCAGTTTGGGTTTTGTTCTTTACTCTGACATGCATTGTTTTTGTTCCAGTTTGCGTTTCAAGCGAACGGATGGGGATCCGAAATCTCTCATAAACTCGCCAGGTACAGATTTTATGACAGCACGAATGTATTATTGTATTCATACCGCTGCAGCGGATGATTTTATCATTCCTTTCATTTATTAGAAAATGCGACGTGGTAAACGAGCTTGTCGGGTTACAACACAAGGTGGGCTAAGATTGTGCTTCCTCGCATCGTGCCCATTCGGCGCTAATGATTGTGCATTGAGAGCATTTCACGTGTCATTTCAAGCTCTGCGGCGGTGATAATATGAGACACTTACAAACGTTTCTTTGCAGATAAGAACCCCGCGCAGCACGTGCCTCTCCAGGAGTTCACGGAGAATTTAAAAGATATTCTCAAATATCTGGTGTCTATAGGAGTGTCCAATGACAAGATCATCTTCATCACACCACCACCACTTCAAGAAACCGCCTGGGAGAAAGAGTGCTTGCTAAAAGGTGACACACCTCCTGCATGCTGCACAGTGTAGTGTTAAAAATAGTATGTGAAATACATGCAATGTTGGATATGGTAGTATTCTACATTGCCATCATATGACCGGCATATTTAATTGAAATCATAAAAAAGTTTATTTTGCATATCAACCAAATATTATATAAAAATGTTTGAACTCTTGATAGTCTGAACAAATAGATCAATGTGAAGTCCGTGGCCAAGAATGGTGACCCATACTCTGAATTTGTGGTCTGCATTTAACCCATCCAAGTGCACACAGACCCGGAGCAGTGGGCAGCCATATTGCTGTGGCGCCCAGGGAGCAGCCTTGCTCAAGGGTCTCACCTCAGTCGTGGTATTGAGGGTGGAAGAGAGCGCTGGTTATTCACTCCCCCCACGAATAATTCCTGCCGGACCCGAGACTCAAACCTGCAACCTTCGGATTACAAGTCCGTCTCTCTAACCTCTAGGCCACGACTGCCACCGTGATTTCATTGTTGAGAGGGAGAGAAGACACACACACATTCAAAAAACTTCATTCTGTATGATTTATAAGCGATTGTACCCGTGGGGACCACAATTTAGGTCCCCACCGTGACACGAGTCCCCATGAGTCTGTGTGTATTCAGGTTTAAGTCCCCACCAGAATAGAAAAACAGGTACACACATACACACACACACACCTGCTGTTAATACATTTTTACTTAAATCTTGGATTAAAAATTATTTGCAAAATACCCATATTTATTTCCAAAATTATAACCAGATCACTTAATTAAACATGCAACTTGGCATGGAGTCATGTGACAGTAATGTATATCATGTATTGCTGCATATTGCATGCTGTTTCACATACTATTTAAAAAAAATTGGCAGTATATAGTGTGCAGCAAGCAGAACTCTAGTATTTAGTTACAACGCCTCACTCTCTCTTTCTCACACACACACACACACACACAAACAATGAATATGGTATTTGGTGTGTTTAGATGCTCTTTTTTTTATCAGGTTCAGCTTTGAATCGGTTGAACTCTGTGGCTGGTCAGTATGCGCAGGCCTGCGTTCAGGCTGCTGGACAGTCTGGTGTGGATGTTCTGGATCTCTGGACGCTCATGCAGAAAGATGGACAGGTGACGCACATGCTAGCAAAACCATGAATGATTTATTGTAGTGAATTAACATAAAAATGAGAACAAATTTTTTTTTCCCCTCAGGATTTCTCAGTGTATCTTTCAGATGGACTTCACCTCTCGGATAAAGGCAATCAGTTTGTGGCAGAGCATTTATGGACACTTCTTGAGAGGCGAGTGGCTGATTTGCACTTCATTCTGCCTTACTGGGGGGATGTGGACCCAAAATGCCCTGAGAGCAGCCTACTGTGTGATTAAAACACAGGTCAAATGATGCACAGCGGATATAACACCATTCAGTTCCTGTGGTTTATATTTGGACATTTTTAGATAAGCTAATCATAAATTGTGTAAGGACCATCCACCAGTCACAACTTTTCCTTGAACTGAAACCAGTCGTATTTGAAAACGGGTTATTTTGAGTTACTCAAATGAAATCACAGATAATGTTTGATGTTCTGCCAAAAATATTCAGATTTCTGAACTATTAATGTTTTGGTGAGGCCAATTGATTTATTGGGCTGCTTACATACATGCGCAAAGCTTTCAGTAGAGACAGTAAACGCTTTCATTTTTAATCTTCTGGCAATATCAAATGTACTTTTCTTTCAGGTTCATAAAATAATCAGAAACACTTCAGTGTAGAGGCAGTTTATTCATGTGGCTTCAAACCCCAATAATACATGTTAAATAAATGTGACGTAACCAAGAATCAAAAACACACACATTGAATGATAGCAGAATGACATCAGATACAGCTTTCTACATCCAAATGAGATGTTTTATTACTTCTGATTTGATATTCAGGTATATAAGAAACAATACTAAATATATATTTAGTCATCTGACTTATTATGGCACATTAAAACTTTACAATATCTTAAAATTTGACTAATAGTTTTAGTCAGATATTTCACAGTGGGGGAATACTAGTCACTAGTCCTTCTAAAATATCGATTGATTTTGGTCACGTCTATACAACCGTTTTAGTGGCAAAAAGAGAAAATCTATGAAAATATGCACATCCCTCAGCTCTGTAATCAGTGTTTCACATATACTGGTATATTAAAATGACATGAGATGCAATAGAGAATATAGTAGTACAAATTAAACTGAGCAAACCTTAAAATGCAAAAAATGTAAAATTTTTAACATCCTGTGCAATTTCTATCTTTAGGCCTTAAGAACATGTCAAATAAAACTCATAAATCGCATCTCCTCTTACAGTCTCCATACACATATGACACTTAATTCATAAACATATGGCATAGGACATGCATAACTTGAATCTTCTCAGCAAGTCGACCAGTGTAACATTAAAAGTGTGACGACACGTATAGAGTCGTGCTGTAGTCCTGCTGCTCATGAGGTATACATGAATGAGAATACAAGAATTTGCACTACTGGATGTATGTTACAAGGCACAAACTGACTGTATTAAAGGAATATTCCAGGTTAAAGGAATAGTTTACCAAAAACAAAATTCTGTCATCAATGTCTTTATGAACATTTTGAAGTGTGAAAGATTTGGAGGAATGGATTTTAAATGAAGGACAGAAATCTCTCATCTCTTCATTTGTGATTTTTGGGTTTGGAAGGACATGAGGGCGAGTAAACAATAGCATCATTTTCATATTTAGGTGAGCTGTCCCTTTAAGCTCTATGGACAGCACCGGTGATTGTCAGTTACCACAAAAATGATTTTGATTTGTACTTCGGTTTATAAAAACTAAAATTGCCTAAACAATTACAACAGACGTATATAGGACAAATGTACAATGATTGATGGAGTGGTTCACCCTAAAATGAAACTTGTGTCATCATTTCCTCAACCTTGTGTTTTTCAAACCTGTATTACTTACTTTCTCATGTGGAACACAAAAAGAAGATTTTATGAACCACATTTCTACTGTTTTTGTCCATACAATAAAAGTCAATGGGGTCCAAAAGAATATAGGACCCCAATGACTTTCACCCATCTGTGGTTCCACAGAAGAAAGTCAGTCATACATGTGAGCAAAAGATAATATAATTTTCATTTTTGTATAAACTATCTCTTTAAACTCGTAGCCTTTTGTTTTAATATCTGTCAACATGTCTTTTTGCTGGCTTCTGAAAACTGCTGAGTTTCAGAGCCAATGATGCTGTCCAAAGCGGTTTTGAATTTATTCCTTTAACTTCTGAATTTACCAAATGCACAGTCATTTCTCTTGGCAGTTTCTGACATGCGTTTAAAGTAACACTCTATTTTTATTAACAACTATAATTGTGCATTACAGGAATGCTACACAATTTCTAAGAACCAACTGAAATGTGTCAGCAGTTTACACATCACATAGACTTTTAAATGCACCAACAAAATGAACCCCGATTGCACCCTGATCTTCACAGCTCATGTCTCAATCAAGTGATCTTATGCCAGTGTCCTCAGCACACCATTTCCTTACTGTCAATGCGCGCCTGTCTCGTCAGCCGTCTCTTGTCCCCGCGGGATGGCGTTGACTGTCCGGTGAGGTCCTCGAAGGACCTGGCAGCTGTGCCGCTTTGACGGAAGCCTTCCACCTCGTCCAGGTGAGAGTCTCTGCTGGGGTCCTCCTCGATTGTGGCCATTCGCAGCGGATCCGCTTTGAGTGCGGCGGAGAGGTTGGCAGGGCCTGGGCCGGAGAGCCTCTCCTGTGCCGGTGAGTCGGCGGGGCCTGTGGGGCCCAGTAAGGGCTGAGGTCGCGCTGCCGCTGAATGCAGATGATGGGCCTTCACAATGTGGATGGGCGCCGATTCCAGACTGCTTAGCATCTCTGCGCTCTAAGGACAGAATTTTGGGATGGAATAAGTAAATGAGACTTCCAAAAGACTCGGTATTCATAGTATTCACTACATCCTGCACAAACAGGGATGGGCACAAGTACTCGGAAGTGACAGCAATTATCGATTATGAAAGTACTAAATGAATAACTGTTTAATTATTAATTTAAATCAAACAAAACAAAGTGGTTTTAAACTATTTTTGACATGACATCTTAAAACAGTGACTGAATTAACGGTAAAACACAATACAAAGACCAAAGATCCATATGATGCGAAAATACGTAAACCAACTACTGATGTACCAAAACTTGGGACAAATTTGTATTATTAATTTTTTTAAATTCAGCATTTCTTGCATCATTTTATTTTAATTGTATTTTTATATTTTATTTTTTATAATAGCACTTTACTGAAAATTCAAAGACCAAAGATCCATATGATGCGAAAATACGTAAACCAACTACTGATGTACCAAAACTTGGACAAATTTTTATTATTAATTTTTTTTAATTCAGCATTTCTTGCATCATTTTATTTTAATTGTATTTTTATATTTAATTTTTTATAATAGCACTTTACTGAAAATTCACCACAAAAGTGGGCAGAAAAAAAGAAAATGATAAAAAAAAACAATACACAAAAATAATAATTTATATGTATTTATTTTCAGTGGGTTCAATGCATTCATATTATCGGACAAGAAATGTATCATTACCTTAAACTCTTCCTTTTTCCTTTTCTCCTGTTGTCTTTCCCTTTCACTTTCCGAACCAGAAAGTTGATTCCATTTTTTTTTCCTTTTCCGATTTTCTACTATGTTCCAATTTCCATTTTTACCTCCTTTCTCCCCGCCACTACATTCATCCTCTATGTCCAGCTCACTTCCTGATCCTACGTCACTTCCTTCCATCTCTGCTCCAGTCACACCCTAGTGTCACCAAGCGCCCTCGTCGTCTACTTCACTTTGTCAGGCAGTTCCTATTTAAGAGATTTCTTGATTGCGAACAGGTGTGGCAGTAATCAGGCCTGGGTGTGGCTAGAGAAATTGAACTCAGGTGTGATAAACCAGTTTTAACAGGGGGGCAAACACTTCTTCACACAGGGTCATGTAGTTTTGGATTTTGTTTTCCCTTAATAATAAAAACCTTCATTTAAAAACTGCATGTTGTGTTCACATGTGTTATCTTTTACTAATATTTAAATTTGTTTGATGATCTGAAACATTAAAGTGTGACAAACATGCAAAAAAATAAGAAATCAGGAAGGGGGCCAACACTTTTTCACACCACTGTATATATATATATATATATTAATTTATGCACAATTTGGTAACACTTTACAGATTTGTTAACATTAACTATATTAATTAACTTTAACAATATTTATATAGCATTTATTAATCTTACTTAATATTAAGTTCAAAATTTACTAATACCTTATTAAAATTTGAAGCTGTATCTGTTAACATTAGTTAATGTACTTTGAACTAACATGAACATTGTTATTAACTAACATTAACAAAGATTAATAAATGCTGTAAAAATACATTGTTCATTGGTAGTTCATATAATATTTAATGCATTAACTAATGTTAACAAATGAGATCTTATTGTAAAGTGTTATCCATAATTTTAATTACATAGTAGCACAGTTATAATATTCTGATTTATCGGTCAAGTACGAGTGCACAAACGAATACCCATCCCTATGCATAACATAAACAGCATGCTACACTTGAGTTAAATGCAGCAAAATATGCATCTGCCAAATCAGTAATGGTCCATTCACATCTCTTGAACCAAATCAAATAAAGAGCCGGGCACCTGTAGCGTATGCAGTATCAAGAGGATTTCAAAGCTGTGCATTTAAAACGCTCCAATACCGAACTGCATGATTTGAACCAGAAACCGGCCACACATCCTCATGGACACTGAATGCACGAGACATACAGGACAAGCTGAACTAAACTCAGTCGGCCCATCACAATCAGCGCGCTCCGACTCATCACACTCAGGGGGGCACAGCGGTGCGGGGGGCCGTATGACGCTCACTCACCTGAGTTGAGAGCTCTACTACACACCTCCACCACCATCTGCTGCAGTTCCACAAGGGTCAGAGCAAACAAGCCACAAGTCATACATATGCAGCCATGCTTGCCCATACTAGCCCTGATAAAAGACGCCAAGCTAACTGGATGAGCAAGTTATGTTACCTCGAGGTGCTGGATGACTTTAATGCAGGTTTAGTGTGTTAGTAATCTGATCTGCTGCGAGAGAAAGGAGCCATGGTGGGAGTTTTAGTTTTGTGACAGAAGGACTTACACTAGGGTACGTCATGGTTTTGGAGTTTTCCTCATATTGCTGATCCAGTTTCTTGTCCTATTAACAAGCAAAGAGAGACGATCACTGTAATGTCTTGTCTTTAAAGGGCTCGTTTAGCCAAAAATTACAATTCTGTCATCATTTACTCACCATTGTACTTACAGAATTACTTCTGTGGAAGTATTATTAGAAACAGACGTTTCTGAATGTGACGGCAATATAAATGAAATTATGGCAAAATACCATCAAATTTCAGCCTGTTCCTCACAGTGTTATTGTTAACTAAAATTTATTTTTGTTGATTGAAATAAAGCTGAAATAAGATATAAATATCAGATGAAAAACTTAATTCAAAATGAATAAAATAAGTTTTAAAATACGTTTTTCAATTACTAAAACAGAAATAAAAATAAAAACTAAATAGAAACATTAAAAAATGAATAATATGACAAAACATAACATAAAAAAATAAAACTTAAACTAGTTCATATCAAAATGACCAAAACTTTAATTTAAATGAAAATGAAAAGTATAAAAAAAGCTAATTTAAAATATTAATAAATACTATAATAGTATATAAATATTGCTAAAATACTGGTTAAAACATAAATACCTAAAAACATTTAAAATATAACAATAAAAGTGAATTCAACCCTAACCTATATTAATGAATAATATATTAGTGTATAAATAATGCTAAAATACTGATTCCTCACACAAAGCTATCGCTTAGCTTTAGAAGATTTGTAATACAGCATACAAGTCGTATGGACCACTTTTATAATATTTTAGGTTGCTTTTTAGAGCTGACTGTCAAAATTCAAACACACTTTTTGCATGGACAACAGCAGCTAGTGCTTTCTACCAAACAAGTTCCACAGAAGAAAGTCAAAGATGTTTGGAAGTACATGAGTATGTGTAAATGATGGACTATCCCTTTAAGAAAAATCAATTCAGAAAAACATATTGACTGTGAAATAGGTCTCACCACACAGTGCACCAGTATGCTTAGGGGAATCCAGAACAGGAGAGAGAAGACCACCACTGATCCAACTATGTTGTCAGCCAAGAACTTCCCTGAACATTGACAGAAAAGAGTCACCACTAGCATTTACAAAACATACAGAAAAGGTCCTGGTTAAATTCACCCAGTTATCATCTCTTACCAAATGTGTTGATGTCCAGTTTGTCTATGAAGTCCCATAACCGTTCGATGACATCTTGGACGTGCTTCATGCATTTACCCTGGAATGTGCAACACCACAGCATTTGTCACACCAGTGAAAACACTATTCAGTCTGATAAATGATCATTGTCAAAGCAGTGTACTCACGGCCCCGTCACAGAAGCCAACGGTACAGGGTTTGCCCTTGCGCAGGTAAAGATATGACTCAGCACTGATAAAGGGAGTGCACAGCCCGCTACTGCTTCTACAGCACACTTTACAAGAGTCCTCAGTCTCTGAAAAACATCACAGCAAACGATCAGACACTTCTGCATTCATAATTACAGGTAAAACATTGAACACTATTATTAGTATGTGTTTTGGTACTAGCTTCAGTATACATCAACCATCTCAATTAACGGGCCAATGTAACGCAATTTTGAAGTGGTATGCATTGGCCAATATCTGTGCAGTTTCTGTTTACATATATTTGGGGTGAATGTTGTGTAAAATAGCCTAAATAATCCCGTAATTTCAGCCTTTTTTTTGTGTTTTTTTTTTTACATCTTACCTGCTGTCATTATATAGAGAGAATATAGTTGGGGATAGTTGTCACAAAGTCTGTATACTTTACACTAATCAAAAGTTTGGGGTCAGTAAGATTTTTACTTATTATTATTAATTTTTAAAAAGAAATGAATACAGATATTCAGCAAGAACGCATTAAATTGATCAAAACTGATAGTAAAGACGTACATTTTTACAAAAGATTTCCATTTCAAATAAATGCTGTTCTTTTGAACTGTCTATTTATCCTTTTATAATATTTTAGGTTGCTTTTTAGAGCTGACTGTCAAAATTCAAACACACTTTTTGCATGGACAACAGCAGCTAGTGCTTTCTACCAAACAAGTTCCACAGAAGAAAGTCAAAGATGTTTGGAAGTACATGAGTATGTGTAAATGATGGACTATCCCTTTAAGAAAAATCAATTCAGAAAAACATATTGACTGTGAAATAGGTCTCACCACACAGTGCACCAGTATGCTTAGGGGAATCCAGAACAGGAGAGAGAAGACCACCACTGATCCAACTATGTTGTCAGCCAAGAACTTCCCTGAACATTGACAGAAAAGAGTCACCACTAGCATTTACAAAACATACAGAAAAGGTCCTGGTTAAATTCACCCAGTTATCATCTCTTACCAAATGTGTTGATGTCCAGTTTGTCTATGAAGTCCCATAACCGTTCGATGACATCTTGGACGTGCTTCATGCATTTACCCTGGAATGTGCAACACCACAGCATTTGTCACACCAGTGAAAACACTATTCAGTCTGATAAATGATCATTGTCAAAGCAGTGTACTCACGGCCCCGTCACAGAAGCCAACGGTACAGGGTTTGCCCTTGCGCAGGTAAAGATATGACTCAGCACTGATAAAGGGAGTGCACAGCCCGCTACTGCTTCTACAGCACACTTTACAAGAGTCCTCAGTCTCTGAAAAACATCACAGCAAACGATCAGACACTTCTGCATTCATAATTACAGGTAAAACATTGAACACTATTATTAGTATGTGTTTTGGTACTAGCTTCAGTATACATCAACCATCTCAATTAACGGGCCAATGTAACGCAATTTTGAAGTGGTATGCATTGGCCAATATCTGTGCAGTTTCTGTTTACATATATTTGGGGTGAATGTTGTGTAAAATAGCCTAAATAATCCCGTAATTTCAGCCTTTTTTTTGTGTTTTTTTTTTTACATCTTACCTGCTGTCATTATATAGAGAGAATATAGTTGGGGATAGTTGTCACAAAGTCTGTATACTTTACACTAATCAAAAGTTTGGGGTCAGTAAGATTTTTACTTATTATTATTAATTTTTAAAAAGAAATGAATACAGATATTCAGCAAGAACGCATTAAATTGATCAAAACTGATAGTAAAGACGTACATTTTTACAAAAGATTTCCATTTCAAATAAATGCTGTTCTTTTGAACTGTCTATTTATCAAAGAGTTGTGAACATGACTAATAAAAAGAAATAACAATATTTCTTGAGCACCAAACAGCATATTAGACTGACTTCTGAAGGATCATGTGACACTGAAGACTGGAGTAATGATGCTGAAAATTCAGCTTTCCGTCACAGGAATAAATGACATTTTAAAATATATTCAAATAGAAAACTCTTATTTTAAAATGTAATTTTTCACAATATGACTAACCTAAACTAACCTTTCAAAAAAAAAAACACACACACACACACACACACACACACATATAAAAAATGAAATATTTGATAATCATAAAGAAATTAAAAAATCTATTATATGACCTGCATTTTTTCCCCAGACAATAATTATATAAATGTTCAAAAGCTTTATTGTAACCAAGATATTAAAGTCTTTGTCTCTACAGTGTTATATTGTCCATCGCTGCTCACTAGGCATGAACACTGATCATCCAAACAGGTCTCTTGGTTAGGCACTAGTGTGAACACAGAAGAGGGTTTGATGAGACATTTACCATTGCAGGCACAGGACTCAAGATTATGCATAGCCTCGCAGAAAGGCTTGCACTCGCCCTTCTGACATCGACCCTTATCCACACACTCTGTATTATCCACCAGGTTTCCAGGGGTGGGGCACTCACTGCTGTTGCCTAGGGATACACAAGGGTAAAAAGTATAATTAATCTAGACCACTGCTACATTGACATTGGAGAGTTTGGAGCTCACCTGTGCACTTTGACATGCCCTTGCAGGTGGCGGTGATGATCTCCTGACAGGTCTTATTTGCACTTTCAAACCTACAGTCCTTGCAGCAGGGGCTGTTCCTGTCACTGAGGGTCACAGACAATAATATCAGCCACAAATACTGATAGCAACAATGCCCTCAAGATAACCACACTTCCTAATAAAATTTGCAACCACTTGTCACCAGATGTCATCAGTCAGACTATGGAAGAAAAATTTGCATAAAGAAATTTTTCATAACTTTATATAAACCTTTCAAGACAATCGATGGATTACGGTTCTGTTGAAGCCATCAGCCAGCATAATTAAACTTAATTTATAAAATGTACTTAATAGCCGATTTCAATTCCCATTAATATACATAAAATGTAATTTATTCCTGTGATGGCAAAGCTGAATTTTCAGCATCATTACCCCAGTCTTCAGTGTCACATGATCCTTCAGAAATTATTCTAATATGCTGATTTGCTGCTGAAAGGGATTAAAGGGATAATTCTGTCATTAATTACGCACCCTCATGTCGTTCCAAACCCGTAAGACCTTCATTCGTCTTCGGAACACCTAATTAAAATATTTTTGATAAAATCCGAAAGCTTTCTGACCCTGCATAGACAGCAAAGGAACTACCACATTCAAGGCCAAGGACATTGTTAAAATAGTTCGTGTGACATCAGTGGTTCAACCTTAATTTTATGAAGCTATGATAATACTTTTTGTGCGCAAAGAAAACTAAAATAACAATTTTATTCAACAATTTCTTCTCTTCCAGTCAGTCTCCACCTCCATTCACGAGAGTACCACAGTGCATGCGTGTCCATTCCCCTGCTTGTAAACAAGGCGCAGCGCATCCAGGTTCTACGTCAGAACGCTGGCTCCAGCGTCAGCAGCACCAAACGCATGAGTCATGTGCACTGATGTCACATGGGCTATTTTAACAATATCCTTACTACATTTCTGGGCCTTGAACGTGGTAGGTCCCTTGCTGTCTATTACAGCCCGACCGACATGGGTTTTTTGGGGCCGATACCGATACCGATATTAGGGAGTAAAAAAAAAGGCCGATATCGATATATCTGCCGATATTCTTAGTGTATA